CAGACATGGTGTCGCTTCCTTCCTCTGCGACACCCACCGTGAACGTTGAACCAGCAGTCAGCAAGGCATAGTCTAGAAAGTCCTTTAAGCTACAGATAAATTTGCTCTTTGGCATCCAAGATTTCATGGGTTCATCGAGTCCAAAACGGAACAAGTCTTTAAATAAAATTTCATCATATAGTGGTACCTGGTAAGATAGTTCACAGAACCGGTGAACATACTCCTCAATCGAACGACCTCCCTGCCGAAGATGTAGTAGCTCGGTGACTGGGTCCATACCAGGCCAGAGTCCACTGAGAAAGCTGCTGGATCCTTGTGTGGCCGAGTATTCTGTTACGGGGCTGACGAGACGTGAGAGCCAGGGAAGCCAGGACAACATATTTCAGCCACCGGAAACAACAGAGCCACAGCCCTGCTCACCAGACACATTATCCCTCTCTCCAACATCTCCACTTCTAAGCTTCTCACAGAAAATGGAGGAACTGGTTTATGCTGGGACCAGACTCTCCCACTCTTTTGCTGCAAGCCCCCAGATATCAACTAAAAAACGGTGGGCCCCACAACCACCAAAGCCTGTGAACGAGCTGGGCCAGCTCGTCTTCCTCCTCCTGTGAGAGCTCTCCGGCCGCTGCCACAACGCCAGTGCCCAAACCCTCCATCTGCTGTAGGTGAACCAAAAACAACTGATAGCAGCTCTCAGTGATATGTGTCGGGTCCCCGCTATAATAGCAGCAACATTCACAAATGTTTACAGAACAAGCGGGAACCCAGTGTGCCTGTAGTTTTCTCTATTTCTGTTTTATCACGTGATAGAAAGTCTAAGGCCTTCTTAAGCCGTACGGCTGACTTATCTAATCTGCGGCCTGTTATGCATCAAACTAATATTGCTGTTGAGACAAAATGCAATGCCATCAAGTTAGCATTTTTAAACATTCGCTCACTAAAAAATAAATCATTTCTAATCAATGACTTAATAACCACAAACAACCTGGATTTTATGTTTCTAAATGAAACATGGCTAGAAGACAGCTGCAGTGCAACGGTCCTCAATGAAACAGCCCCTCCTAACTTCACTTTCATGAGTGTTTGCAGGACTGTTAGGAGAGGTGGAGGTGTAGCTGCTCTATTTAAAGATGTCTATCAATGCAAGCAAGTGTCATTTGGTCAGTACTTGTCTTTTGAATATCTAGGGATTGTGTTGAAAGGTGCTCCACGCATTCTGTTTATCATTATTTACAGGCCTCCAAAATACTCTCCAGCCTTTGTTGAAGAGTTCACAGAAATGCTATCAATGATTTCCTCAGAGTTTGACTGTTTTGCTATTGCAGGGGATTTTAATATTCACATAGATAATGCAGAAAACAAAACTACAAAAGAAATTATAACTGTTTTAAATACTTTTGACCTGATTCAGCATGTGCATGAACCCACACACAATCGGGGACATACTCTAGATTTACTCATCAGTAGAGGTCTAAACATTTCATCCATTGTTATTAAGGACGTAGCACTATCTGATCACTTCTGTATTTTCTTTGATATATTGATCTCTGTTACCACTGAATCTAGATCGGTCTCAGTCAGAAAGAGATGCATTAACGAAAACACTAGTGTGCTATTTATGGAGGCTATATCTTTAACACCAAGCATTTCTGCAGACTCTGTTGATCTTCTCCTTGATTCCTTTAACTCAAAAGTTAAGAATGTTATTGATGACATTGCTCCTTTGAAAGTCAGCAGGAAGACTGGCAGACAGAAATCAGCTTGGAGAAAATCAACAGCAGTTCAGAGTATGAAAAGACAATGCAGAAAAGCTGAGCGGATGTGGCGGAAGACGAAACTTGAAATACACTATAGCATATATAAAGACAGCCTTCGTACTTTCAATGTGGAACTAGGCAAAGCTAGACAGTCATTCTTCTCAAACCTTATAAACAGTAACTTAAACAACACTCGCACTCTTTTTGCTACTGTTGAGAGACTGACAAACCCCCCAAATCAGATTGCCAGTGAAATGCTCTCCGACAGCAAATGCAATGAGTTTGCTTCCTTCTTTTCTGAGAAGATCAATAATATCAGGAAGGCGATTAGCACATCCCCAAGTTATGCAGAGGTTAGACATATTCGACCACAATATCAAAAAGAAGATACTATGTCTGCTTTTGAAGAAATTGATAGCAAAATTTTGGAAGAAATAGTACAGCACCTTAAATCGTCAACATGCTATCTTGACACACTTCCCACATATTTTTTCAAAAGGGTGCTTAACTGTTTGGAAGCAGATCTCTTAGAAGTGGTGAACGCCTCACTTCTTTCTGGGACTTTTCCAAACTCCCTGAAAACTGCAGTTGTTAAACCCCTTCTGAAAAAGAGAAATCTTGATAACACCATATTGAGCAACTATAGACCAATATCAAATCTTCCTTTTATAGGAAAGATTATTGAAAAGGTAGTCTTTAATCAGCTGAACAAATACTTAAACTCAAATGGATACCTGGACAATTTTCAATCTGGTTTTCGACCGCATCACAGCACAGAGACAGCACTCATTAAGATAATAAATGATATTCGCTTAAATTCTGAATCTGGCAAAATATCAGTGCTGGTACTACTAGATCTCAGTGCTGCGTTTGATACTGTCGATCATAACATACTACTAGAGAGACTGGAAAACTTGGTTGGGCTTTCTGGCATGGTAATTAAATGGTTCAGGTCATACTTAGAAGGGAGAGGTTATTATGTGAGTATAGGAGAGCATAAGTCTAAGTGGACGTCCATGACATGCGGAGTCCCACAAGGCTCAATTCTTGCACCGCTCTTGTTTAGCCTGTATATGCTCCCACTAAGTCAAATAATGAGAAAGAACCAAATCGCCTATCACAGCTATGCAGATGATACCCAGATTTACCTAGCCTTATCTCCAAATGACTACAGCCCCATTGACTCCCTCTGCCAATGCATTGATGAAATTAACAGTTGGATGTGCGAGAACTTTCTTCAGTTAAACAAAGAAAAAACCGAAGTCATTGCATTTGGAAACAAAGATGAAGTTCTCAAGGTGAATGCATACCTTGACTCTAGGGGTCTAACAACTAAAAATCAAGTCAGGAATCTTGGTGTGATTCTGGAGACAGACCTTAGTTTCAGTAGTCATGTCAAAGCTGTAACTAAATCAGCATACTATCATCTCAAAAACATTGCAAGAATTAGAGGTTTTGTTTCCAGTCAAGACTTGGAGAAACTTGTTCATGCCTTTATCACCAGCAGGGTGGACTATTGTAATGGTCTCCTCACCGGCCTTCCCAAGAAGACCATTAGACAGCTGCAGCTCATCCAGAACGCTGCTGCCAGAATTCTGACTAGAACCAGAAAATCTGAGCATATTACACCAGTCCTCAGGTCCTTACACTGGCTTCCAGTTATATTTAGGATTGATTTTAAAGTACTTTTACTTGTTTATAAATCACTCAATGGCCTAGGACCTAAATATATAGCAGATATGCTCACTGAATATAAACCTAACAGACGACTCAGATCATTAGGATCGAGTCAGTTAGAAATACCGAGGGTTCACACAAAACAAGGGGAATGTGCTTTTAGTTATTATGCCACCCGCAGTTGGAATCAGCTTCCAGAAGAGATCAGATGTGCTAAAACATTAGTCACATTTAAATGCAGACTCAAAACTCATCTGTTTAGCTGTGCATTTATTGAATGAGCACTGTGCGATGTCCGAACTGATTGCACTATATTATATGTATAATCGTTTTCTTAAATTCATTTTAAACCTCTTAAATCTATTTTTTTTTAAATCTAAGTTTTTAAATTCCTTGTTTTATTGTTGTGATTATTGTTTTTATTTTATTTTATGTAAAGCACTTTGAATTACCATTGTGTATGAAATGTGCTATACAAATAAACTTGCCTTGCCTTGCCTTGCCTAACAAAATACTAAATTCATTCAGCTGGACACACTTTCCTTTGTGACAGCAGTTTCAGGACAGCAGCACCAGGCCGGTAGTATCAGACTGGAAATTAAACAATTAAATCATGTAAACCTATTAGAAGACTTGTAGCAGACCCCATAACGGAAATTATGAACCTGTAAATGAGCATAATAAGTGCGCTTCAATAAGTCACGTTGTATTTTTAGACAAGACTGATCACAGTTATCTCTTCACTAACGCTACCTGCAGTGCCTATATGAGATTATCTCTGAGAAACCGTTTCTGTTTATTCTCCAGGTGTGTTTGGTGCTGATGCAGATGAAGTGAAGTCAGTGATGGAGGGAGATTCTGTCACTCTGAACCCTGATCCTGCTAAAATGCAGGAATTTATTCTGATACTTTGGAGGTTTGGAGAGAAAGGTTCCACCATTGCTCAAATCGATGGAAATTATATCTCATATCCTAATCACACTGAGATATTCACAGACAGACTGCAGCTGGATCAGACTGGATCTCTGACCATCAAGAACATGAGAACCAAACACTCTGGACTCTATAAACTACAGATTGAACACAGCAAAGGGACCCCAGATAAGCAGACATTCAGTGTTACTGTCTATGGTGAGGATATAATTATTACTTTTTTTCTGTTTCTTTGTGTGTTGTTAATTAAACTGAATTATGATGAGATTTAAAGTGGCCAGATATTTTTAGTTTAATTCCAACGGTAATAGTATTAAAATAATTCAAAGCAGAGTCAACTGGTTTTTAGAATTAGGAATTGTAATTATATCTGTTGAACTCGGATAAGTGCAGTGATTCAAACAATGAAAAGATCCTGTGCTGTTATATGAAACAAGACGACTCATCAAATTAGTCAACCGAATAACTGTTGTACATCTCAAGCTGATTACTTTTATTAATCTGTATAACCTTATGGCAAACCTTAAGTCCACAGTGAAGACAGACAGGAGCTTTGTCTTACCCATGCTCTATCAACACAAGCGATTGCTAAATGTTACTGCTTCTGTTTGAAGTTTATTTCTAACAAAACACATGCAAAACTGGCAAAGTAAGGTGTGAAAACATAGTCCACAGTCCATCAGGTTGTTTGCATCCTTGAGTGTGTGAGGCGAACACAGTCAATAAGTGTTTCTGCTTGCTCCCATCATTGGTCTGTGCTCCATCATTTTGTGCATCTGTGCATTTGTGCTCCTTTACCTATGGAGGGAGCAGAGAGTCAGTCAACACAAATATACATGTTAAATAAAGAATTGATCTAAATGAAGAAATGCATTGAATGAAAATTGAATACTAGGGCTCTAGACTGCGACAATCTTTTGAGAATGTGCGAGTTAAAATTTGACATGGTCGCATTTGTGCGAGTGCATGGTCTACACTGCTCCATAGCATCTGCTCTGCTCCGTACAGCGCGATGCAGACCCACACAACAGTGCAGCAGGAGCCAGATTTCTCTGATCACGTGAAGAGAGGCCCTTTCAGTGCGAGCGCTTCGGGTGTAAAGCCTAGTTCATACTCGCCACGTCAGCCCGAGCACAAAGGTGTGCGCTGCAAAAATTACACAAATATACTGAGGAAACGATGGCGGTCGGAGGATTTGGTTTTCAAGTGAAAGTAAAGTAAAAGACATCTTCTTAAACCAGAGAAGGTGAACATGTTGGTTTTCTTAGGAAAAAAACATGCAAGCACTGTCACCGACAGCCAATTTAGTTTTACGTTTCTTTTTGTTTTCATTTAGAAAAGCCTCACATTATGCTGTGGAGGCTTTCTTTAAATTTTTTTATTTATTTATTTGATTCCTCAGTGTTTGCTAAACATTCTGTAATTTATTAGTTGATATACAGCATGTGGTGTATGCCGTGCCTCGTCATATTCGTTTTTGTTAATAAACGTAAAGCTAGTTTGTCATTGTAGCCTATATTGTTGTATTGTTGTTGTGCTTTTCAATTAAGAATATCAATGAATCCATCTTTCAAGCATTTGTTTTAGTCTTAAAAAGTGAAAGGTGTATAGATTGTAAGCACAACAGACAATTATCTTTTCTTGTAAAACTTAAACAAACTGGGCTTAATTCCCAAAAAAATTCAAATCACAAATAATACTAATAAAAAAGAATGGGTTGAATGGTAACCACTTTTGTTACCATGTAAGTTATATTTATAGTTTATAGTTATATTATATAACTATAAACTATGATAACAGAAAAACTATTCATCAGCATGCAGTGATAAATCCCATGTTGTAGCAAAAAATAAATAAATATAAATCCAAATCATGTGCTCGTGCGATCAGCTGGGAAAGTTAGTCGCACCAGAACGACCAGTGGGAAGAATGAGTCTAGAGCCCTGAATACAGTATTTAAACAAATTACTATTATAATTACAAAATTATTGTGAAACTTGATGATCTAGTGCCAGTAACAGTGTATATTTGTTTTCTGTCTGTGAATCTTGATTCTTGTAGAGTCTCCATCTGTTATTGCTGGGGGTGAAGCTGAAATGAAGAGCGTGTCAGTGAAGGAGGGAGAACCTGTCACTCTTCATGTTCCTCAACTACAAGGAGATGTGCTGATAGTGTGGAGGTTTGGAGATGAAGGAAAACTCATAGCTAAACATGATATAGAGGCCAAGAGCTCACCATTATATGATACTGATGAGAGATTCAGAGACCGATTGAAGCTGGATCAGACCGGATCTCTGACCATCACAAAAACCAGAACCACAGACTCTGGACTTTATAAAGTGAAGATCAGCAGCAACAAACAGACTTTATACAAGAGATTCTCTGTAACTGTCAGTGAGTAACTCAAGACTGATTGTAATGATTGTTTATCAGCTGTCTGAATAATTGTATTAGCTAAAACTGTTTCTCTCACATTGCTGACACCTGTGAATATATCTGTAATAAATACTGATTATTGTCAGGCTTATGACAATTTTAACATTTAATTAGTTTAATCTTCATCATTGTTTTAATATTTATATGTAATTATCACAATCATTAACATTAAGATCTACTTACCAAATACACATTTAGATTATATAGTGCTGATGTTTGCAGTGTTTGTTATAGATCAGACACACATTCACACTAATGACTGTCTCTCTTTAGCTGTTCCAGATTCAGGTGTGTCTCCAGGTGCTGTAGCAGGGATTGTTGTTGTTGTTCTGCTGGTGGCTGCAGCTGTAGCTGTAGCTGCTGGTGTGATGTACTACCGTCGTCCCAGGACCTCTAATCTACCAATCCAAACATGTAAGTATTACAGTTGATACAGCAAGAGAAAAAACATCGAGCTTTATTGTGGTTAAGTAAAATTTAAATGTATAAAATGATTTTTCAGCCAACATTTCTATGTTAACCACAAGTTCTGCTTGTAATTGATACAATAATTAATGAAGTGTGTGATTGTCTGGTATTGAGCTGAATTACATTAATATACTGTCTGTTTGAAATGCTGAATTTAAAATGTTTTTGATTATGTCTGTTTGTGTTTATGTAGTTTTGTTCTTCTTCTATTGAAGGTTGAGATATTTAGCAGAAACTAGCCTAAAATCATAGTCCTGCTGTCCTTTGGTCTTTCATTTTGACTTTTATCTGGAGTCTTTAATAGCACCTCAGACATGTGTTTGTGTTTTTATCATTATGTATGGCTTCATTCACTTTGTTCATTTAAACATCATAGACTATTAATACAGAAACTCTAAACTCAGTGTTGTTTAATTATTCCTATGAATGAATAGTTTATTCTAAAATTTAAATTCATAATTTACCCACCTTAATGTCATTGCAAACGTGTATGACTTTATTTCTTCTTTCAAATACAAAATAAGATATTTGGATAAACATTATGGAGCTCTTTTCTGTACAACAGTAATTTTTAGTGATCATGTCTGTCAAACTATTTTAAGTATTATTAAGTGTCATCTGTCATAAAAGTATCATGTGACACATTTACTGTATTCAAAGTCTTCTCAGGTCATGTGATGGTTTGTGTGTGAACAGACAGAAATACGAGTAATTATTGACTGATCATCTTTCCGGTCACTAAAGCTCTGAAATGCAACACAAAAGCTATTTGAGCTACAAACATGAAAAAGAGGAAATTAGTTCACTGAATGTTTCATAGGTGAACTCGCACCTGTGTTTGAGTATGGAAGATAATATTTGAGAACTAAAGCAAAGAGTTTCAGCAGACAAAAACTTAAACTGCTCATAAAGCTGTTGTCTGAGTTCAGAAGATTTACAGCACGTGAACAAATTTTCTGGTGTTTTTAATGTTATTTGTGGAGGCAACTTTGTGAAGGCCATTATAAGTTATCATTACATGGAAAACAGCTGCATGAAAATTCTTCAAAATCTATTTATTCATTAGACGAATGAGGGCGAGTAAATAACAGAATGTTATATTTAGTTATATGATGATGAAAAAGATGTATATTAATATTTACCTGAATGAACAGTTTTAAAACAAGTTTGTTGATTTGACTAAAACCTCATTTTTCAGTGGAAAATATTTTATTAACAAGTTAATTAATGTTAACACATGCAATATTATTGCAAATTGTTGCAGATCTTTAGTAAAAGTCATCTAGAAGATGAATTGATTATTAGAAGCACATATGAAGAATCGCACAGTATCCTCTTAGTCCTTAAATGATACTGACATGTTCATTTGCAAACTCAATAATAATCTCCTCATTTCTTTGTTTCTATGTGCTGCTGTCAGTGCCAGTAACTGAGGGAGAATCTGTCACTCTAAACCCTGATCCTGAAATACAGACGGATGATGAGATACATTGGCTGTTTGGAGATAAAGACACTCTCATAGCTCAGAAGTTCAAAAGAGAGACCAGAGAGCATTTAAATGTGACTGATGAGAGATTCAGAGACCGGCTGGTGCTGGACAAGGAGACAGGCTCACTGACCATCAGTTGCATCACAGCTGAACAGAATGGACTCTACACTCTGAAGATCAGAAGAGGCAGAGAAACCTTATACAAAAGATTCATTGTTTCTGTCAATGGTGAGTTGCTTCAGTCAATGTAATAATCAGAATCAGAATCAGAATGAGCTTCATTTCCAGGTATGTTTGTTTACACATATGAGGAATTTGTTTTAGTGACAGAAGCTCCACAGTGCGACAGAATGACAGTGACAAGAGAGGACACAGATAATAAAAAGAATAATATACAAAATAGACAATGTGCAAGATATTTGCCACTCTGATCTCCTTTTCCAGTGTGTATTTGGCCTGTTGTTTATACAAGACTCTGTCCCCCAGAGCCCATCCTCCTTATACGCAAAGTATGCAAGCTGCGTAGGGGCCCCTGAAACACCAGGGGGCCCCTTTGTTCTCAAAGATTATTACATTTTAATCTTATTTTTTAATTTGGCCAGCGATTATGAAAACATGAATGTTCATTTCTTTTAATGCGGTGCACTGTCGCCCTTTCTATGTAAAAATCTTTCAAATCATGTAACGTGAATGTCATACAGTCTCTTGCTAGAGACAAAAAAAAACAAGTTGAAAGCGTACCGAGCCACGGAAGAGACACTGTTTCTCAAGCACTTTCCATGAGCGTGATTTGAGACGGAGTGAACACAGACAAAGGCGTTTCATTAGTCCTTCTTTTTACAGTCCTTAATACTGTAAAAAAAGCTAGCCATTTGTTGTCACAAACTCTCAGGCTATCTATGTGGCCTTTGAACAATGAAAATCCAACACGTAAAAACATTTAAATTAGGAACACACAGTACTAAGATAATAATATTTTATTCAGTGGATCAGTGGATATTCAGGGTATAACATCTCTGAATGTAAATTGGAACATCCTTTGATGAAATGTTAGAATGTGATGCACTGTAAAATAATATTTGAAATATTATATCAGCAAGGAGTGATTTTTATCAAGGAAGTAAATTATTTTAATGAAGTGAATCAATGAGCATTAAGCTGTGGTATTTTCAAGTTGTTTCCCATCTTACATTTAGTCACTGCTGCCTTGCCATCACAAGAGTTTTTGGTAACACTTTATTTCGATAGTCCACTTTAGACATTCTATTAACAGTAAGTAACTTTGCAACTACATGTCAACTAGCAGTTAGTAGAGTATTAGTAGACTGTCTGCTTAATATCTTCTAACACTTTCTTTATCAACTTTTTCTACTAACCCTAAACCTACCCTAACAGTCTACTCTGAGAGTTAGTTGACATGTAGTTGACATGTAGTTACAAAGTTACTTATAGTTAATAGAATGTCTAAAGTGGACTATCGAAATAAAGTGTAACCGAGTTTTTTTTTTTACATGTCAGCATGACATCAGAGCACTCAAACATATTTCTAACTGGCATGCATCTTATAGAGTTCTGCTCAGATTTTGCTCATCTCAAATGAGCCTACTGATGACTGTTTATAGACCGCTTACTGTCCTAAATACACTTAGTTATTTAAGACAGTTAGTAAACTGTTACAATGAGTCCTTCTCAGAAAGTGCATGCTGTATTCTTTTTCTCCTTTTTTCCCAATTATTTTTATTTGCAATGCTCACCGTACAGAAAATGTTTAATGAGACTAATGTGGTTTAAAACACACCTATCAAAATATTAAAATGCAAATGATGCTAAATGTTTCACCATGCACTCCTTTAACACTCCTTTTGTTTTTAGAGTTATAGCTCTGTAATTTTAGAGTTATAGCTCTGTAATTTTGTTTCCTTCTTATAGGTGAGACAATTAATAGTGTTGTTCCAGAAACGTAGCAAGGACATTGTTAAAATTGTCCATGTACCATCAGGTGTTCAACTGTAATTTTATGAAGCTACGAGAATACTTTCTGTGCACAAAGAAAACAAATAGCGACTTTATTCAATAATTTATTTTCTTCCGCGTCAGTCTCTGCTGTGCATTTCAAGATTACCAGAAAATATCTTAATTTGTGTTCGGAAGATGAGCAAAGGTTTTACAGGTTTGTAACGACATGAGAGTGAGTAAATAATGATAGAATTTTCATTTTTGAGTGAACTATCCCTTTAACATAATTCTGAGTTAAGTTCTGTTTCAAATTCATAGTCTCTCTTACTTTACATATGTAAACACCAGGATATGTGGGATGAAAAAAGCTTTTATAAAATGGAAAATGATAGTAAATAGTATACAATGTAGTATATGGTATAGTATATTTATTATGTAATATATAAAAAATATATTAATAATACACTACTCTAAAATGAATTACGTGTGTTTTGGTAAGTCATCAGCTTAGTCCTCAGTAATATAGGTCAGTATTAGTATTAGTCTACTTGTCCCAGCTGTTTTGGATGTTATTTTCTCAAAGTAAACAAAACATGGGATAACTTCTGGAATCCAAAGCAAATAATTCAGTCCCAGAGGAGAGACCTGATTGGTGTCATTTCATAAATGTTCTTGAAAATTTAGTAAAACATTCTGATCTGCACTTATTTAATATCATTCCACAGTTGTCTGTTCTGTTAATTGTGCCTTTTATGTTTGATTTGTCTTTTCTTACTTTCTTCTCTTACAGATATGGAGGAGTACATGGATCAAATTCAGAAACGTCATGGCAGTGAGTATGACTTTCTGCTTATACAAGAAAATATGAGCTTTAGTTTTGAAGGATCTAAGGATTCTTCACAACAACCTGTGTGTGTTGCTTCAAGACAGCAACCATATGTTCGTGTTGTGTTTTTCTTTCTTTTTTTCTTTCTTTCTTTTTTTCAGAATAATTTAATAATTTTATTGTTACATTTAATCATATAATCATTGATAATAATTATTTAAACCATTTATATACTCATTTCATTGACTACTTCATTCATTAGTCATTTATATTTTTATATTATTTTTGTTTAGTCTTATGATTATTAAGATTCAAGGGCTATTTGTCTTTACAAGTAAGAGATCAGAGAATGTCTTCATTTCAAGGTTTTTATAGTCACAGGATGATGTTGTGAAGCAGCATGATTCCATTGCTATGGCTTGTGGAAACACTTGATTTGTACTGGTCAGGCGAAGTCTGAGCACTAAACATACGCAACTAAGACTATTCAATAAATAAAACTGCTTATTTTTTATCTTCATCACTTCATCTTCTGTATCTGCTCTTCTCTGGCTTTACTCACTCAACTTCTTGGCTGATAGAAGACTGTTAAAACAGTTTTGGGTACCAGACAAGAATTGCTGTTAATGGGTTTTGGGTATTAGACAATTTTGCTGACTAGTTATTTTGTTGCCACACAAAACAGATATTTTCTGACAAGATCTGGCGTCTAAGCTGGAATTGATATATCTGGTGTGGAGGCATGATCGAGCAAGCTGCCATACAAATGACTGTAGAAAATACAATTGGACTCTCATGAGAATTATTAGTGAAGATGTAATTGTTTCAGTTAAAAGTTTTAGTTTAATCTGAGTAACTGATTGTTTGTTTGTTTTTAGGTGTGTTCGTAGAACCGGCTGAAATGAAGAAAGTGTCAGTGAAGGAGGGAGAAACTCTCCAATTAAGCATTGATACTGAAATTAATTCAGAGGATGAGATGCTCTTAATGTTTGGATCAAAAATACACCCATATGAAATTATAGCTAGATTCCGTGACCAGGGCAAGGATAAATTTATAACTACGTCTAAGAGATTGACAGACAGACTGAATTTGGATTGCAGTGATATTCTCACCATCACTATCACAAGCATCAATGTCACAGACTGTGGAGATTATTTTGTACAGATCACCGACAAGCTAAATAAGACCGTCGAGTCATTCACGTTCACTGTTGTTCCCGATGGTAAGTCTTTCAGTGTAATAATGGTCTTAATTAGTTTAGCTGTCTGAGAGTGTGATCACTGCATCTGTGCAGCTCTCAGCAGTGGTGGACAGCACCATATTTGTGTATAGTAAAGCTAATGAAGATGAACATGCATTAGAATAGTCTAATGAATGCTAAATTTGATGTAAGATGCTATTAAAATTGAAAAGGAATATCCTCAAAACAAACTCCCAATCAAGAGAGCTGAAATTTGCCACCAACGCAACTGAATCCACAGCATAAAGATCTTTTTTTTTTAGTATTTGGCTGTTCTGATCATGTTCTCTAGACATAGACTTGGAGCCTGATGATTGTTGCTTATGACAGTATTTATGTAAAATTCGAGAGGTTAATGCTTTAAGGAATCAGTTTAAATGACTGAATATTTTACCAAACACAAGAGCAGTTAGAGTGATAAATTTGAACACAAGAGCAGTTAAACTTGGACTTGAATTGTGTCCAGCAAAGACTTTAGTGGGGAATCTCAGTGAAATGTTTACTAACAGTGACATTCTGTGTTTGGTCTGCAGGTGTGTTTAGTGGTAAAGTGAAGTCCGTGTCAGTGATGGAGGGAGAACCTCTCATTCTAAACCCTGATCTTACTCCAATAAAGAAAGCTGATCTGATAGTGTGGACATTTGGACATGAAGGCAGGCTGATAACTAAAAGTGATGTAAAGTACGAGATGGAGAAATTTAGAGACAGACTGGAGCTGAATGATCAAACTGGATCTCTGACCATCACAAATACCAGCACCGCAGACTCTGGATTTTATGAACTAAAGACAATCAGAAACACACAGGTCCAGTTCTGGAGATTCATTGTGACTGTCATTGGTGAGTAACTCACATCTTTCAGTGTAACATGAATGATCATTAATTAGATTAGCACTTTGACGAGTTTAGATGTGTTGATAAGTTCTCTGAATAGTTAAGTTTCTAATCAGACTTTTCTAATGATGTTTATGCTGTTTATATATTATAGTTTATGCTGTAGCCTGTCTCGTTAGGTTTATGTAACCAGATCCAGTGCTCTCTGTTGAATAATACTGTTATATTGCCCTTGATACAGATGAAGAAGTGATGAAGCCAGTGGCGGAGGGAGCATCTGTCACGCTAAACACTGATGAATCTGAAATACAGCCAGATGATCTGATACTCTGGAAATTTAAAGACATGATTATAGCTAAAAACAAAGAACTCTGCTCTGAACTTGATGAATTCACAAGACTGAAGCTGGATCATAAGACTGGATCTCTGACCATCAAGAACATCACAATCACAAACTGTGGATATTATACACTACAGATCATCAACAGAGAAAGAACTAAAAATAAGAGATTCAAAGTTACAATCAAGGGTGAGTTACTCACGTCTTTCAATTTGATGGTTGCATTACATTCAAAGCTTGTTGCAATAGTCTTAAAATAATAATCACTGAAAAATGAATAATCTGTCCTTCATGTAGTTCCAAACATGTATGACATATCTGTGGAACACAGATTGTTTCTTGTTTTTGGTCCCCGTTGACTTTATTAAATGAAGAAGAAGAAGAAAAAAACACCCTTGATGGCATTGTCCAGTCATTACAAATTTCTGGGATGGGGTGTCATGGAAGATGGGTGATATTTTACCGTTTTTGTTTGTTTGTTTACCAGCAAAATATATTGCCGGTTTCTACTCTGTGAGAAGCTTGTATTACTCGCTAGAAAATGCATTCTAATTGAGTGGATTCATTTTAGTCTTTCACTCTGGTATCGAGAGATAGAATTTTGCCTATGTAGAGACTGCAGTGGTTAGGGGAGATAGTGCCAGGTTTGAAGAGATGTGGTGGGGGGCTGTTATGGAACATCTACCAACCAGTTTAAAAGAGATCATATTTAAGGGAAGATTTGTATTTAAATAAGTATTTCTTTTCACTGAACAATTGGCTCACTTATACTGTATGAGATGGAATGGGCTGAGGGGAAAATAGTTGTGTCAAGGTTTATGATACAGGCTGAGGATTTTACTTTCATTATTATTATTAATATTGTTGTTATTATTATTGGATTTTATTATTTGTATTTTTATATGATTGTTTTTGTCTGTTAATAAGTGAAAAAATCCTTGAAACATTTTACTTTTTGATATCTTCCTATGAGTTTCACAGAAGCAAGCTTGAAATAACATGAGGTTGAACACTGATTATTAAACATGCAATAATTACTAACTGTGTGTATTTCTTTTAAGGGTGTTTAGTGGTGTTTCTTCCTCTGTTTTCACTTTTTTTTCTTTCTTTTTTTTCTAGCTTTACTTAAAGGTGACTTGTTGGACAATGTGTGTGATGTGGAAATAAACATGTATGATGAAAGCGAGGATGATCAGAATGAACATCTCCGTCACATCAACATCTGGGCTCCAGCTACAACAACAACAAAAAAAACAAGTTTCTGCTTTTATGTGCCAGACAGTGAAAGTGAGAAATGAATTTGAGCTATTAAACTCTCAAGTAAAAGCTTCTTTGGTTTTAGATAAACAAGGAAACAAGTTGATAAAGACATTTCATAATTAATTTAATAATGTTACACTTCATACCTCTTACTCTATTAACATAATACCAGTTTGACTCTTACAGCTTTGTAACAGCAAGTTTGGTTGTAGTCAGTGTCATATAAGCATTTTATGTGATGTTTTACCACAGCAGTATTTCTCTATCCATAGTGTGTGCTGTTTTATATAATTAAAACCACTATCAGTTAAATGTTCATATTCAGCATTGATTAGAATGTGTTTTAAAGCCAACATCACATGACCACCTCGTCATGTGTAGAAATTCATCAGACTGTATATAATAGACACACAGTTCAGAAACATCTTTGACCGTCCAGAACCACAATCAGTGTTGCTCAACTAGACAGAATTTGACATGTTTATTGTAGAAATTAATGCAAAGTAATGCATACTTTGCATTTAATGTCTAATCTGAATATGATTGTTTTTGTCTTCTAATCTGATCTGTAATTGTAACTGTGACCTGAATTTATAGTATTTATACTGAAGTTAGCCTTAGTGCACTTATAGTAAAAAAAGATAAAGGCTTTTGCTCAACTCTAGTACTTAGTGATATGATACCACATTGTGCCGTGCCTTTGCTACTGTTTTATTGCCATATGTATGTAATTTTGACAAAAGCATCTGCTTCATACGATATTGTGCCACTAATCTTAATGTTTAATCATTCAGTGGACACACACTGATACAGCTTTTGCTTCCTAACAACTGTTTGAACACAAAACGCATGAAAATGTAAATACACATTTGAATGGGGATGTTACAGTATTAAAAATAATAAAAAGATAAAATGTGTGTTGTTGTATACTGTATGTTCTATAATTGATGTACAAAATATCTTCAGAGTAGACTGAATCACCAGATACAGTGGAGGGAAAAAAAACTCCATAAAATAAAATGATTTTCTAGTTGTCTTAGTTGTAACACCCAAGAACTGAAAATGGAACTATGAAATCAGATGTTATTTCATTTCTTCACTGAATGAAAGAATGCTTAACAATAATGGTTTTGTGGTCAATTATGGTATTTTTTATTATTTAGCAGTTTACAATTTTGTTTTATTATTTTTCCATCTACCATCTAGATAGTGTTGCATTTTCCTCCTCTCACCGAGAAAAGGCTTTTATATGCACTTCATCTTTTTCAGAACAGATGGCTGCAGAAGAAAACAGAAATTTTTGTAAGTGGGATATAATCCCTGTCTTGCATTGTAAATGCGCAAAATGTAAAAAAAAAAAATTTAAAGACAATATTTCTATTTTAAGTCATTTCAAATAATTCACATTTCTATTTTCCATTTCATATTTCTGTTTCAATGTTTCTGTTCATCAACAACAACAAAAATCCTAATATAAAAAAACAGCCATATTCCACATTTCAACAAGCAGCAAAACTGTTTTCAGCGAAGAAGAAAAAGTGTAGGCTAATATAGTAAAAAAAAAACGAGATAGGCTACATATCAAGATGACTGTCAATTAATATACAAACGTTCAAAGAAGCAAAGAGATAATTTTTCCACATGTCAGCTTCTAATGGACTAAAATATTACAGTGATAGACATTTTTATATTCAGTCAGAAGGGGGAGCTAAAGCATTGTCATCTGCATTAGGAGAGTCATGTTGCTGTATAACATCATCATGAAAGCATTCAAGAAAGATTCCGTCACTGATAAAATATAGTAATTAAATATTTGTTTTTATATGTTTATTGCATATGCCTTCATTTAATCCAAATACATAAATTAGTTTGAATGGCCTTCAATGGAAGATGTCTGTGTAGTTATATCTAACCAGATGGGGCTAACAGACCATGCTAACCAAAAGAGAAGCGAGAAATCAAAACACACCATGACCTACAGAATACATATACTGTAAATTCTTAACATAAAAAGTGTTATGAATGTTCTAGTATAATTAAAGCAAAAGGTTAAAGTAAGCAGACCATTTTAAGGTCAATCATCGTCAGTATGCAGGCCCGGATTAAGAACACATAGGGCCCTGGGGCTATAGCAAACCCAAGGGCCCCCCTTC